CAAACATGTTCACTTGTATTCGAGCTTCTGAATCAACTGAATAAAACTGATCATATATAGTAATATCAAATTCAATTAAACTCATCGTCCCATCAAGCTCGGCACCCGGGATTCCAAAAGCTAAATTTTGATCGAATCTTGCCACATATCTGTTGAGGGTGTCAATTTTATTTGGACCAAAATCGGGTAGCGTACTAAAGTTTTTGTCTACAAAAAGTTAAGTTAGTGATGGTAATATTTGTGAAATCGTGAAATTGTTGTGGTACGTACTCATATATCCTATGGTGCAAGTGACTGTAAAGTTATATTCGGAATGGAATTCTAAAACTAATAAATGTATAACGGTTAGCATTACATCATCATGTTTATTAAAAATATAAAATTACGTACTAGGCATCGGGATTGTATCAACTTTGTCCCGAGAAATGTTTACAGATACTCCGGTGCTTGCCAACTGAATACATTTCCAGACAAAATAACCAGCTACGCCTAGCATGAAAATTATCTTGATCCATTTCTTGGGCGCTCTAACTGAAACAGGCTCGGCATCAGAAGACTCAGGCCATACAAAGTCTTTGATAAAGTCTCCGATGGTGGTAAAAAAGTTTTTGATGGTGGTAAGCAAAACCATCTTTGTGTTAAGTGAATTGGGGAACTGAGATTATTAAGGCCGCTTGATTGCAGTATTTATTTATTTATTTAATATTTATGCACTCAGAGTTGAATTTATATAATTGGGTATGTAATACTAGAAAGCTGCACGAGTTCATTGTGGGCACAAAAATAGCATCATTTGAAGGGGCTTGTTTAATATACTTGATATTCTAATTCTATACAGACTGTTAACGAAGAATCACTGCTTTTTTTTCTGGCATATCAAACCTTTGTTGTATAAATAAACAATGTGCTCGCTTTTTATCACCAAATCATAATTTTGTAATTGTCGAAGTAGTGTACTCATATGCTTGGACAGTAAATTGAGTCATTAAGCTTCGCTACTGTAGTTTCTTGACTAATTAACTCTATTCATCAGTTAATTACATCAATTATTTTTATCACAATATGTTTATTAGTAATTATTTTAAATTTGACGCATTTTCCCCACTACTCAATATCTATTCGAAAAAACCAATTCAAAACAAATCCACATAATCCACCCTAAACCGAGACTGAAAATAACTCCATTCGCAGGATTCGCTGATGTGTCGTGTTCATAGTCGGTGCATCAAACGAGAGAAAAAGTTGGAGTAGTTTTGGGGTTGTTTACATGAAGACACCAGGTTTGAGAATATACAGCTTGCTTTTAACACACTGCTGGTTTTGTGTTTGGGAAGATTGGAAAGAGATTAATGAGCAAGTATTTATTGATTATCACATTTTAAGTGAGTATCGGAGGAAGCACATATAACATTACTATGTAGAAAAGTCAATTGCTTTGCTTTGTTTTTAACCCACTTGAAACTCCCAATTTACTAATAAAATTCCTCTTCACTTTTATTATGTGAAAACAACTCGTTGTTTTCTTGGAGGGTCAAATTAAGCTGCGACGTACTCATAGCATAAGGTTGAACAAGGTTTAGTAGGAACACCACTTCCGTTCGTGATGGAGCCATAGTTTGGTGTTAAAGCGAGATTTTGATTTAATGTCGTGACCAAATATCCTAATCGAATAAATATGTGAGTAGTGTGAATTATACTTAAATTTAGGTGTGGATTATATAATAATACTCACTTATTGCGTTAACTACGCCTGGAGCGCAGAGGTGCCTTTTGAGGAGGAATTACCGTATTTCTCGGACTAAAGTACCAGTGGTATTTTACAAAACCTCGTTGTACCATGGGGTACTATACACGGGGTG